CACTAAACTCTTTTCCCCTCAATCTTGTTGATGCATATAGCTTTTCCGTGTTGAGCTCTGTCTGTGCATTTATTTATTTATTAACAGGTCTCCACTATACAGGATTTTGGCACTTCGGACTTCTCCTACAATTTTTTTTCAACTGCACCGGATTCCAATATGCAAAAGGCTCTCCCTGATTAACTAGCTTTAATATGACATAATTATTTTGTTTTACTGTGGAATTTCTAGATTGTTCATCACTTGATTGTTCTGTACTGGACTCCCCTTCATTTGGTCTCCACTTTTTCCACTTTTCCTAATTTTTTTTATACTATTCCATTCTTCTTTGTTTTCAGTATTTCCTTCTTCCATCCCACACAAAAATTGCTTCCTGTTTCCTCGCTAGTCACGTCCCAGGACATTTCACCACAAGCGACTTTGAAACACCCAACCTGTCACTCCTCTCACAAGCCAACCCCTTTTCCAATGAACTGAGTCCCAACCCTCAGTAAAGGAAAAATGCCTTTTAAAGGGCTCAAACTTAACTATGCAAAACTACTAAAAACCACTAGGGTGTGCCACAACATAAGATTTGCTCAAACTAAACTAAACTCCTCCATTAAAACCCACCAATAACCCATGTAAAATAACCTAGCAGCCATATAGAAAACATTTAAAACCAAAGACCATAACTATAAATAATTCCCCAAACATGTAATCACAACTTACACAATAACTTAAAATTGCAGTGAACTATAAAAAGTGCCATGTACATGTTTCAAATATTTCAGTTAAAGTGCATGTGCTTCTTTGCCAGTAATGGACTGGGCCTTCGTTACAAGGAGGTAAGACAATTTGCAGATGGATTAAGATGATTTATGTTTAAAATAAGATAAACATCTCTTTTATCTTATTTCTAGTGCATAATATCTAAATATCTTTATTTAAGACCAGAAATACAAATTCCTTTGGCAGATCAGCCCATTTAGCTGCTCAATTTGAGGGCAAAATCACTGATATGGGATGATAGAAGATAGTGTTACTGATTTGTTCATTTGACTGACTTAATATTTTGCCTGGACAATGTAACAATTATTTAGAAATTACGGCCAATTTTAGTGAGGTAATTTTGCATCACAGTCAGGACAAAAGCAGGACATAATAGATGGTTCTGAGTTATTATAAATCAAACAGGCTTATTTTTATACAAATATCGTACGTTTAGTAGCCCTCTGACTATAGACCAATAAAAATGGATGAAAACCTTGATGGTTGAGCATCTACATTGGTAGAACCATCATCCACATCATGCTCAGGAAAGGATAGTGATGCTGAGGAACAAGGAGGAATCAGAGTTTACTGGTCCGAAACATCCAGGGTGGACTTTGAGATTACAGAGTCAGAGAGTATGACAAGAACTGCAAGAACTGGGCAGAGATACTCAAAAGATTTAGAGTGGTGGTTGGGGCTTCTCTGCAAAAAGAAAAAAAGTATCACGATTTGGATTCTGAATCAGGAATAATCTGTGTATCTGTGCTGATCAGAGCAGACCTGTCCAATCAGAAGAACAACAGAAAACTCAGATGGAGCACTGGACTATGCTGCAAATAGGTGCGTCTTCAGCTGTGTAAATGTTGGATGGCAGAGCTGTTACAAAGCACTGAAAGTGTCATTTTTCTACTGTGGAAGCCTATACTACAAAGACTGAAATCATATATCACTCTTTTTTGGTGTTTCATTTCACTTTGTGTTTTAAGATATGTATTTTTATGAATGAAACATAAACACGTCAAATATATTGTGATTTTAGTGTAAGTTTCATACAGCTCCATCTCTCTTTAACTACTTTTATTTACAAATAACCTTTTTAAATGTCAATTCATGCTTTCATTTTCATATAACATCTGATTCTGACTTTATGCTATTAATCACAAAAGTGACTGTATTTTCTATTTTTTGTAGAGATGTTTCTTGGCTAAATTCTCCAGTGTCTATTATTTCTTGCTTTTATAGTGTAGGCCTCTAGATTGTGTCGTACAAAGCTTTACATAGCCATTACAGTAGGTATTCTAAAACAAGTAATTTAACCTTAAAGAGCATAAAATGTCATATGGCTTTAAGGTAATAAAGGTTAGGTTTAATTTCAGTGAGTTTTCTTTGAGTTTTCAGTTTCACATTGATTTGTGTTTTTCTTTGTTTTCTAGTTTTATTGGTTTAATTCCTATTTTGTTGTGTTTTCTGGATGTATTTGAGTATTTCTTCATTGCCCTCTGTTGCCCTCTTGTGTTGGTCCCCTTTTCCCTAGCTCCTTTCTAGAAGCCTCTGTTCACACCTGCTCCAAATCAACTCATTAGTCCTGTCTTTGTTCAGTCAGCCATAAATACTCTCCCTGTGCAGTTACTCAGTGCTGGTTCCCCATCTTTCCCCGGCTCCTTGTGCATGTTTTTTTCACGGATGACTCCATGATTCTGGATTGTTTGCATTTTTGTGCTGGATTTTTGGATTCCTGCCTTGTTTAGCGTTTTTGTGTTGGGATTTTGGATTCCTCCCTCTGTTACCTGTTGTGAACACTCCATTAAAACTACAAAAACTCACCTTCGTCTCCTGGCCTCTGCATATGGGTCCCCAAAACCTCAACCAAACCCTAACAGATTCATGTTAATAAGTTTAACACCAAAACTTATAAAGGTCAGTATAATTTCATCCATGTTTGCAAGGAGATTTCATATTGCTCTCTATTTTCTGTCATTGCAATGTTTCATCTTTTACTGCATTTTTTCTTTGCACGTGTTCAGTGTGTTTGTCTAATGCATTTGACAGTCAAATTTTTTTATTTGATAGTCATTTTTGAGTTTGTTAGTCTAATTCTATTTATTTTGCTAGTCTTTTTCTTTTTATATATATAAATATATAGGTGTCCAAGAGCTAGGTGATTGTCCAACAGCTTTGCTTTCACAAGTAGATCATTATGACTGTTGCCAGAAGTTGGTACTTGCATATAAAACTTTATATATCTAGGGAGTAAAATAGTGTACAACAGACACAGAGACGGAAAGGGAGATGAGAATAAAGAAGACATAAGAACTAAGGGGAGTGAGAAAGAAATATAAATGAAGCTAAATATTCCCTATTTTTATGAAAGAAAAAGTTTTATTTCATCAACAGAATTAATTACACATAATAGATTTTCATTTTTAAATAAGGAGGGGTAATAGTTAGAGAAGACTGTCACTTGGATTCACCTTTAGCCCAAAATGGAGACAACATATATCCTTGTTAAGTATAAAGTAGTGATAACAAATAAAAATGATAATTAGTAGTTAAATAAATAAAATCACAATACATAAAACAGACAAAAACAAACTAAGAAGGTAAGTTCCATAAATGAGATACTCTTCAGGATTTTTTCTAAGCCCCTTAAATGTTGAACTTTTATCAAAAGTTTTAAACACATGGCTGGTCAAACTTTGAGTTTTGAAACACCCTTTGTTTTCCCTTTACCAAAAGAAAAACAAATGGGAAAATGGTTTCCACATATTCAGGACTCCTTGGATGACATTAACCAAATGCCTTGCAGTTGTCTGATTTTATTTTATTCACTTTTACTGAACAGACTTTATAAGGTATCAAGATCAAAGAACTGTTCTGACATGAGACTTGTTTCAGGAGCAGGGGGTTAGTAACTAGCTTATATGACCCTTTGATAGTTGAAAGTACACGACAGGACATTTAGCATTGGATCTCTTCTCATGACAAGGTATTTTCTCTGGCCCGCCTCTCTCGGAGATTTAGCAGATGCTCTGAAATCCCGATCAACCAACCAGATGTCCCGGAAAAATCTGCAGCCACGTTGCATTACACAGACAATAACAGAACAGTTTTACAGAGAGGTTTTTCTGCCATGCCGTTTCAGCTTAGAGAGAGTAGAGCGAAAACAACTATCATGTTAGGTTTATATTATACTAGAGCTGTTTCTATTTTGGTTTCACACTTTAAATGATTCAAAGGATTAAAGGACATACATGTATTTCAAGGTTCAATCCATAAATAAGAAGTCATTATAAAATATAAAAACAAGGATGAATCAGAAAAATATAACAATTGAAAGAGATCATCCCGTTGAGTGGTACCTATAACCTGTACAACTGTACTGAGAATAAAATTGTAGTCCTTTAGGGAAAAAAGAGATCTGTTTTTATGCTATACAATGATCAACATGGTACATTCTGACTTTAAAATAATTGCTATTCTTTGCCAGAAAATAACTGTCAAATTTCAGAGCTCTCACCTTGTAGGACAACCTAAATATTTTTAATAATCAGATATGGGGTTTGTTTGTTCTAAAACATATAACACCAACTAATGAATCCAATCTTGTATTGATTTAAACTGCTCTTTTTTGCCTATTAATTGAAATTTATCTTCATTATTCTAAGACATATGAAGATTTAGTGCCAATGCTGACAGGTATTTGCAGTTGTTATGAATACCTACTTAACCATGGCATACTTGTAGAGTAGCATATTTCCCTACTATTATACCTAAAAATATATCTTTATATTGTTTCTGTGTTGAAACCGATGTGACTAGGAAATGCCATAAAAGGCCAAGCAGAAAGTGGAAACATTGACTTGGTTAAATGATGACACATCTAGACATGCATTTAGGTATTTTAAAATATTCTTAGACAGACATCCTTAATTCTATACAGGTTTCCAATCTTACACAACCATACTATTTCTATGTTTTTTCATTTTTACCCATTAAAATGTGAAAACTCCTTGGGTTTTAACAGCATTGTTGACTTCCCATAAAAACTTTGAAATCTGAATCTTTTGTGAAGATGGTTTTAGGTCCATCACTTTAGCTTAAAATAGTACACACCAGCTTGGCAACAACTTTTAAATGCTGGCTGATTTGAACAACCTTTCTGTGAAATTTAATCTCTGAAGCATGTTAAGTTTAGATGGCATACTATAAAAGGTCTACTTTAAAGCAATCTAAGTGTGTTTTTATGTCTAAAGTGATAGATTCAATCTCATAATAAACAGCATTACATCTATGTTCTCCATGGGTTTCTTATTAAGGTCCTCCTCCTGTCATGCTTTTCCCCCTTTTTTCAGATATCAGTGTTTTACTTCAGATCTTCCTTAAAATTAAAGTTTATACCCATAATGAATATTGGTTAACAGTGTACAATGGAGGTACTGTAAGGAAATCAATTTAGGATGATTATTCCTACATATTCACATCGTTTACCCCCATACCGAAAATCCAGCAGCTAACCGTATGGAATTTAGCTTTTAAGATTAAAACCCATTCATTTTATTAGTTATCTCTGATATTTTAAGCTATAGCTCCAATCCTTAAATATTACAAATCCATACTAGTCACACTAGGGATGGGGAAAGGGGAACTTATCCGGTGGAAGATGAGATGTTCGTGTTTTCTGTGCCACTGCTCTGGGTTTCAAGTTGTTTTTTGTCATCTACAACTATCCTGCTTGAAAAGTAGTAGTAGACGAACAGGAAAAATCCTGCAAACACACAAACACATAAGGAATTGGTTTGATTATTTTTGGAAATTTTGTCATTTCTGTGAAATCCAGCATGTTACGAGTTATGTTTTGGCCTACCTTGAAAGGAGTTGAGGATGGTGAAGATGTAGTAGGAAGGAAGAAGCAGAGGGCCATAGCTAAAAAAAGCAAATCCCCATGTGATGCCCAAAAGAATAAAAAGACTAAGAAGAGAGAGAAACCTTTTCTTGGTGGAGCCGTTTTTCTTGGCTTTTGCATCTTTAGATGCAAAGTATGTGATCTGCACAGCGGTTAAGATGAATATGGTTAAAGTGAAGAAAAATACAATGATATAGTAACCAATGTTTACACCTAGGTGTATTTTAGCATCGGGGATCCAGCACCTAAGTGTCATGAAAGAAACACAGTCATTTTAGAGCATGTAAATTCAATTTAAAATTGTAATTATCTGTATTATTTCCTCACATGGTTGCTGAGGTTTCATTATCAGCAGAAATGTGAATGCTATCATATTTGCTTGCAGAAAGAAGTCCAACCACCACCAGACTTGGAATAACTGAAAAGATAGGAGCATTTTCTTTCAGCTTTTAGTGTCAACTCAAATTAATTAATGTTTTAAACTCAGATCTCTTACTCCATCCAGTGCAGCAAATCTTGAACACGTAGTATTTGATGTCTGTGGGAACTTTCTGTAGATTGAAGTACAGGTGCAAAGCCTGCATGAAGAACCAAGTGAACGTGGCGAGCATGCTATAGTGCATAAATGCAGCCATCACCACACATGCTGCCATGTTATCCAGGTTAGCAATTGACTCGTTTATCAGAAAAGTTAAGTTCAGGAAGAACAAGGCAATGAAGAGATTCATCAGGATCTGTACAGCTTGGCTGGCTTTATTTTTCCTGTATGTCAAATAGTTTATGTTAACAAAACGTGAAGAGAGCAATCATAAAATTTAAAAGCTGATCATTTAATATTTATACCTTATGAGAAAATGCATGAAGAGAGCCACACCCAGGAAGAACATGGACATGCCGCAGCCGGCTTTTGTGATTTGGGTCAGTGCTTTCAAGTCAGCGGCACTGATCTGTCCAGTCATGTCATCAGTGGAATTACTAGGATTTCCATTACTATCGGAATTTCCTATGCCGAACGGTGACTGGTTTTAAACAAGAACATTAACTTAGAAAACAAGAGAAATATTAAAAGTGGTTTTAAGAAATCACATGGAAAATGTCCTACCATGAGAATCGCAAAAAATGTAAGATGAGAGCATTGGCATGTGATGCTGTCATTGATGATATTTGTTAGACAACCATCAGTGACCCAGCTTAAATTTGTTCCTGATGGACAACATAAAGAGGAAGTAAAAGGATGTTTAATGGATTCAATGACACTCAGTTATGAAACTGTATGTTCAGTAAAAGAGTGTTTTTTGTTGTTGTTGTTTTTTTTAAACAGATGATATTACAATAAAATCTGTGGATAAATCATTCCAGACTTGTTTTTTTTTTTTTTCAGATGACAAATGTCCTTATTTGGAGAAAATGTCTACAGCATTTAAAGAAAGGACATGATTTAATCTATAAATTTAATTTAAAGTGAGATAAATCAGCTGATATATCACAACTCTTAACCCATTATGTATAACCTTTACAAGACGGAAAGATGACCTGTGAAAGCAACCTACCAGAGCTGTTTCTCCCATCCCATGAAACACATGTGGCGTTCAATCCAGTCTGTATCAGAGCAAAAATGAAAGGTTTTGAACAGAAATTGAATATTGGTATAAACATTGTCTACATCTCTTTACCGTGTTCACATTGGTGAAATGCATGTCGATGGTTTTTGTAAGATTATGTATGTTTGCTCCCATTTCAATCCCCAGCATAGTATTATTCAAAAGTGAGTGATTTTGGTCAATCTGTTGAGAATAGAATACATATTCTATTAAATGATTATGTGTAGTTTCTATGAGAATAAGATCTTCCTTGGTTTTTACCTGAGGCATGTCTGGAAAAACCATAACTCCTGCAAATGTGCCATTTTTTTCAACCGCCATTTCACAGGCTTCCTCAGGAAGATAAACGCTTTGAGAGAAGTGCGTCAACGGGTCTTTTTCCTCGAGAACCTATTACAAGCAGACAATATTAGAAGAATTCAGATGATATTCATAGTAACTTCTCTGTAATGTTGTGTAAACAGATACTACTAACCTTCACTTTCTTTTCCAATGTAAAACCAAATTTTTGGCTTGTTTGATTTTTCAAGGGCAGTTTAACAATCACCCCTGTAACGTTGCCCATTTTAATCTCTGCTGTACTTGCATTTCCCATCCGGTTTAGCATGGAGCCAAGATCATTCATGATATTTCTATAGAGATAATAATGATTTAGGTTAAGTAATATTACCATTAAAGTTGCACAAAGACACAGCTCGTGGTGGTTGTTTTTTTCTGTCCCTTTAATTGTGAGATCAATAACTTATATTTACACTGCTTTTGTAGCACTTATAGGCATGTCCCAGTCATCCAAGGTGATAGCCATATCTGGGCTGATCCCTGGTAGCTCACAATTTTTCTCACACTTTTTTGTAAAATTGTTAAACTCTAAGTCATATTTCCTCTTTTTAAAATCTGTAAAAAGACAGATATATGGTGTCAATATAATGTTTCTTTGATATTTGTTTTAAAGGAACTAATAAACACAAAATGACCTTCACATTTCTTTTCATGACACTTGTCACATTTAGTCAGCCTGATGTTTCTGCCACCTTAAAACGAATTATGAGACCATGTTAGGAGCAATCACTTTTCTAGTCAAATCTAGCGTTAATCAGCACACTTACCTGGTTTTAGGCAGTTGTGAATTTGTAGGATGAGATCTGAGGGGAAATATTTCATGCTTTGTTTAAAGATGAAAATTAGAATATTTGCTACTTTTTCAACAATAGGGGGCAACCTTTCCCTTTTGCTGTTTATAACTGCAGGATTATTATTATTATATATATTATTTTTTTTTTACCTTTCTTCTCATATAAAGCTGATGGCATACATGAGAAATTTCCAGATGTATTCCGCAACACTACAATGTCTTGCTCTTGTAGGGAACTTTCATTCAGAGTTATTTTGTAGGTGGTCTCGCCTTGCTGAGTTAATTCTACATTGCAGTCAAAATCTTTGCAACAGCCTAAAAATACACAATGTCAGAAATATTAAGTTAGTAACAACAAAACCTTCATTTTTTTAAACCATAGAAAACCAGAAAGTCTCTACCTTTATTGTTTCTGTTTTCCTGGATGTTAAAACAAAACTTTTCCTTAACAGCAGCTAGAAAATAAAACCACAAAATATATATTTTTTCTTATTTTGAATATCCGCTTTATGTAGAATATTTCATGATGAAAAGCCAAGCTTACTTGATGGAAATGTTGTACCATTATCAATTTTACCACCGATAAACAGTATCTTTTTAAACTCTGTAATAAATATAAAACAAATAAATAAGTGTTAAAACGAAAACAAATACATACTAGTTATATATACAAATATGTTACAGTATTTACCTGGTGCATCAGAAACAGCATCACAAACAGGGTTCTGAAGCAAAAGCCCCAAAGAGAGAATAAACGTCTTGAAAACCAACATCCAGTGAAGATTTAGTAGCCGTGCCATTTTTAGAGCATATAAGAACGATTAGTTTGAAGTAAGCCAAAGATTATATGCATGTTCAAGTCCTGCTTTCATGAAGAGCTGCTTCTTTCACACCATTCAGAAGAATTCTGCATAACATTTTTTTTTTACCAAGCCACAGTATGTCCCCATGTGGTGTCATAGATATACTATTTCACTTGCAAATGCAGTCTCGTTGTTTAGCACTGTTAACTTGGGGACTATTTCCCTACATCGTGACTGATAGAGGGCTGGTTAATGTTTTTATGTATGTAAAATTGATTTTTAAAGTCACCAAGAATTTCTTTTTTTATGCATACATGTTTTATAGACACTTTCTTTTACTTAATCTAATCTAATTATCTGGTCTTATTTACCCTGAATGCAGGGGCGGATCTAGAAAAATATTTATGGGGTGGCGATAGGGGGGCAGGAATTTTTGAGGGATGGCAACATATGGCATTTTTTTTTTACACTGAATTTAATCACAGTTATCACAGTTTGGTGAGAATAGTATGTACAGTAAGTGTTTCATGTGAAACAGTTCTTATTAGAAATACATCGTACAATGTGATCTCACTTAATAGGAGATAGAAGAATGATAACACTACTTTTAGAGGGGCATTATCACAGGAAAGGTATTAAGGTAAGACACAGGTGCTGAGTCGCAGATATGTGAGATTGACTGTCAGAGAGGCAGCTTTTTCCGCATTTGCACAAGAAGAATCGATAGAAAGAAAAACTTAGCCATCAGAGATCTATGGACTGAGCTGTACTAAAATGAGCATCACTACACAGTAGAAATAAATGGGTCAAGGTACCCAAACAAGGTACTGGACATCCATGTATTGTTTCCTCTGAACACACATTTACCCCATTTTTTTCTAAGTAACTTGACATACAGCAGTTAAGGCAACATGAAAGGGACATTTCATGTCAGGCTTAACTAACATCATAGTTAGAGAAATAACGTTCTGCAACCTGATTTTTATCATCTCAAAATCAGCATTGCAGCTATGCTAGCAACATTGTGCTTTCATTATGATTTAATTTCTCGATAGATAGTTATTCAGTTTTTACCTGTTTCATCCCGTGACTCCTCTCCTCATGACCCCTGGCTCCCCATTCAGTTTGTAAAACAAATCAGTCTCAGTTGCTCTCGCGTCATCTCGTGCTGCATCCATTGCGGTCCGACATTGGAAATTAGCGGCTGTAATTCTCAAATTGTCCATAATTTATAAGCCTCGCCACCCCTACCGCCAACTGGGGTGGCAGCAGGGGTGGCAAGGCTGTCATTTAGGGTGGCATTTGCCACCCTATGCCACCCCAGTAGATTCGCCTATGCCTGAATGTCAATTCACTATAAAAAAAAAGATTTTGACAATGGCAGACCACTTTCCTTGTTGTGTATGTATGCTACTAAACATACTGCTGTTTACCTTTAAGTTATGTAATTTTTAACCTATTTTAACTCCCGAACTTCACTTTTTGCACTCTCATGTATGCAAATGACCAAAGTATATTGACTACTGTGTAGTGCTACACACTAGTGTTAGACAGATACAACACAACACTTTGAAAGGTTTTGAACTTAAAGGTAAAACTCCATCCCAGAGGCACTCAGCTGATGATCTTGATCAACCCTGCAACCACTTGATGTTTTACCATCTGACCAGCTTTTGAGTAAAATCCAGACCCTCTCAGAGACCATGATATTGCAATTATAAGCATGATAAAATAAAAAAAGCCTAGAAAAATTTAAATCTTAATTATTCTATAATTATTCATGTTTTCTAAATATGTGCAAGGCTATATATTAAATGACTAAATATATAACTTTCATATTACTTATATCACATAACATAAATGCAGACAGTTTCACAACATTTTTACAGGGTCCCCTGGGTGTACAGTAAAATAAAAAAGAGGCTGGTTAAAAATTATATTTAAGAGGGTTTGAAAACCACATTCCAAAGATACCTTAGACTTTTGGGGAAAAAAGTCTAAGGTAAACTGTTTTGCCCAATACTCTGCTTTGACTTACAAAATGGTTAAGCTTTTTTTTTAATATAAAAAACTAATATAGTACTTAACAAAAAAAACAACAACAACAACAAAAAAAACATCATACTAACATCCAAAGAGGGTGTGGGAAGTGAAATGGTCTGATGTTGCTTTGCTGCTTAAGAAGTTGGACCACTTAGTCTATGGAACCACTATAAAAGGCAATTATGCACAAAAATCCTCCAATATGGATGCAAAGAAACAATAAGGTGGGTAAGACACAATTAGGAAATAAGATTAGAAGGCAGCGGCAGTTAGTTTTCACGTATTGACTTGTTGGTTTATCTTTTATCCCAGATATATTAAACTATCATTTCAAAGCCGCTTATATTTACTGAGGTTATCATTGTATTTAACCTTCATTTGATTATCTAAAACAT